AAACCCGGGTGTGGTAGCATCATATCAGGCATGCTATTGCCTACCCAAACAGAGTCCTACCACAGGTAAATACAGCTGTCAGAATGGCTAAACCCAGTTCCAGAAAGCACTGGAGTCTTTGGAGGGAAGGTGATGCTTTTGTCTACAAAAGTGCCTGCCACAGTTATGCCATCTTGGAAGCTGGAAAATTAAAGCCTTCTGAAAGTTACCCCTGAGGCAGAGGAAAGGTCTTCAGCTCCTGGGACTCCTGGATCACCTGCAGGTAAATGCTATGACAGGGCGGTTCACTGGGCACCCCACCCGATCCTTCATCTCATCCCTTCTCAACCGCAAGTGGAAAGAGAGCCTTCGGTCGTCCACAGCTTCAAAGGTCGAACAGGAAGTTCTGAAGCAGGAGCTCCACAAAAAGGTGTGTGAAAGAAGGGAGAGTGTGAGGGGGAGAGGCCAGAATGGAAAAGGGGTGGGGGGGGGGAGGGAGCAGGGAGGCTGGGAGACTTCAGAGCTTCCGCAAAGAAATGGTTTCTTTGTCATTACTAGGGCATGGCCAACTAAAGCTATTTGTTGGCAGCTGACATTTAGTGACGTCACCGAGAGATGGAGTGAGGCGGCCTACAGATTCCAAAACACATTCAAACACCTGTGAGTTGGTCTCAGTTCACAGTTCAGGGCTAACTCCATGAGACTCAAAGAAATTACCTAGTGCACATTTAACAAAGGCTCTCAGAGTGATGTTTAAGATTAGATTTTTTGTTTACCCATACCCAATGGTGCCTTTATCAGAAAATATATAACAAAGGAAAGACATTCAGTTACTTACATGCAAGATTATACTATTATTATTGAAAATGTATCATTAGTAAAACTTAAATGACACTTAATACACAAAGTAGTGTTTCTCAAAAAACACTGGCTCATTCTTTGGCACTTAAGCAAAAACTCCATTATTGCCTGCCTGTCTGAGTCTGCCTGAACAGTAGAAGTTAGTAGACAGAGCTTTTTATTTTAAAGTTTAAAAAAAGATCATAACCTATTAAAACCGTGAGCTGACCTCAGGTCCCTGTACCACTAGGTCTACCTTTGTGGCATTTGGACTTGTGGAATGGTAGGAAGTGGCTGTCCCCATAGTCTCTGGGTCAGACGGTGACGCTCTCTCTGGATAGACCTCACAGGCTCAGTCAGTGATTTCAAAGCCAAGACTCAAAATGGAACTTGCTTGTGCATGCTTTTAAAAAGGTATCGTCTATTTTGCAGCGCTTCTAACGCTGCAACCCTTTGAGATGGTTCCTCATGTTGTGCTGACCCCAACCATAACATCACTTCGTTGCAACTTCATAGCTGTCATTTTGCTTCTGTTAGGAACTGTGATGTAAATGTCTGACATGCAGGGGATCTGATATGGACCCACAGGTTGAGAACCTCTCCCCGCGCCAACAAGAAACTCTTCGAGGAAGCAGAAAACCCCATTGACACAGTTCCGAAATGGAAGAGGGTCCTGAGTCTCAGTATCCCCAGGACTGCAGGGATTGTTTACAGCTGATTCTCTAATTCAGCCACACAGAGACTATCTGTTCTTAAAAGGCATTGCTAGTAAAATGATAAAAACACACCATCTTCTACCATCCAAAATGGTGGGGCATCAACACTACAGCTCAAGCCCCTTCCCCAACCTCCCCGTCACGGGGTGACCGCGTTCACTCCTGGAAATCTTGGAACTAGACGCTTTCTTCTTCCAGTGAAATGTACATGTGTGTATGTATACATGATTATGATTGTGTGTGTGTATACACACACACACACACACACATATATATACACATATCTCTAGCCTTCTTCCCACTTTTTATTATGAGACATAGTTGCACTAAGTTGGCCAGCCTGGCCTTGAACTCACTCTACGTCAGATATGCTGTGTATCTTGAGATTCTCTTACCTTAGCTTCCCCAGTAGCTAAGAACATCCTGTTTCAGCCTCCCAATGGCTGGGATTACAGGCTCTTCCACTCCGCCTAACTTCAAAATTAAGAGACAGAATCAAAGGACTTGGTTCAAAGGCATTCTTCCTATTTCCACCATTTAAATAATTTCCCCACCTACTGTATCCCTATCAGGAACGGTCTAGAACGAAGAGAAGAGATTTCTGCCTCCAGTTCCTCCTCTAGGAAAAGACAACTTCTGATCATAACCCCAGTCCCTTCTTCCTTCCGTGTTTCTGCCATTTTTAATCACTTAGGATGCATTCTTGAAAAGTTATAAGAAAAAATTTTAATATATTTATTTATAAATTGTATGATAATATACTAATTAAAAAGAAAAATGGCAAAGGTTCGAATAACAATGTGGCGCATTATTGTACCTGGTGAAAGTAGGCACCAGGAGAGAGAGAGATGTTGGTGACATTGCTAACGGCATGTCCTGGGTCAGATGGATGCCTCATACCTGGAAACTGTAGATGGGGAGTTTGGTGTCATGGACCCCGGAGTTGGACCCTCTGGGTTCAGATACAGAGTGTATTAACTATGGGCAAGTCGCTTAACCAATTTCATACCTGTGTTCTCAACTATAAAGCAGAAACGGTATGACTATTGTGATACTTAGATGACCTAATATGAACTTGAACATGCTACAGAATGCCCAGCATTATATAAACATAATGAATACTATAACACAGTGTAGAAGAACGCAGTCTCCCGGGAGGCTGAGAAGGCAGATCAGGAAGTCTGGGAAGTTCAGGACACGTAGAGAGAACCTGTTTAAAGGTGAGAGCAGCCAGGACAACGGAATTCCACCAACACCGAGCTGGAAAGATGTCGCTGATGCGGTGCTTTGTGAAAATGCTCCAGATTACAGAGTGGGACCCTGTGTGGGGAGGAGGGACACGGAAGTGTGCAGAGGTACACCCAAACCTTTGGAAAAGCATGCATCCCCAACACGGAGGGCCATGGGGTGGGGTGGGAGGAGCCAACTCATTCTTGAAGATCTTTGTGGGAATTAGCAGGTACTCAGGAGTACCTGTGGGAATAGATTTAAAAGGTAAAGGCTTTGATGGTAGCCTTTTCAGCCTTGGAGTGAAATAATCTCTCATGTTCTAGCCTAGGATCAGACACTCCCTCTCAGGGAGGCTTAGTAGGTAGGGTGTGTGTGTGTGTGTGTGTGTGTGTGTGTGTGTGTGTGTGTAGGATCAGACACTCCCTCTCAGGGAGGCTTAGTAGGTAGGGTGTGTGTGTGTGTGTGTGTGTGTGTGTGTGTGTGTGTTGGGGGGTAGAGACATCCAGCATCCTCCTTCTCCTTTTCACTGAAAATGCCTTTCTTCCCCCTTCTTCATACTTCTGTAAGTTTCCCCTTCGTGGTGCCCTGGTAGTTCCCACTGTCAGCAGGACTCTCCCCACGCCCCCAATCTCTGGTAATCTCACCATTTCCCAGTGCCTCTGCCACGCTCCACCAAGCCACTGGCCTCAAACCGCCACGTACACAATTACCGGACTGTTCCTCTCCAGTGGCGTCTGACCTTGCAAAGGACCTAGATGGGCTTTTAAACTCCCCCCACCCCCAAGGCAAAGTGCTGCTGGCGTGAATTCGCAGGACCTTTAGGTTTGCCCCCACTGGCTTCCTCTCGGAGGAGGGTACGGGCTTTTGTGTTCCTCCTTGCTGCCCGGCTGCTTTCATGCTTGCCTGCCGTCATGTCATACACCCACCCACCCCGAGCACCCAGTCTCCGCGCTCCTCTCTCCACACGCCAGTCGTCAATCCCCATTTGTACACAAGCGCGTGGAGTCACGACCGCAGCGATGACGCGGGAGGAAAAAGAAGTCAAGACGCGAGGCAGATTGCCTCGCAAGCCACCTACTTCCTGCGCCGGAACCCGGCTCGTGGGGAACCACGTCTGCTGGGGCGCAGGGGGGGGGGTATCCGGGCCACCAGAACCGGGTCAGCCAGCACCGAGGCGCCCAGGCATAGGGGAAATGGATTGGTTCCCGGATGGACCAATCAGAGGGAGAAGTCGTGCATCGGTTGGGAATGGCCAAGATTATAAGGGGTGGGGAGCTGTCATGGAAAGGGGGGCAGGCGAGCCGAACACCGGGCTCGGAGTGCTCTGGGGTCCGCAGTCACTAACCTCGGGGTTCTGGTCTAAATCCCCCACCCTTCCTAGCCTGCCAGTTCCACAAGGCTGAACAGTAGCGAATGGGCAGGGGAAACACTACTCGCCGCACCACTCACAAGACGGGTTTTAATGGTCAATGGAGAAGTGGCCGCAGGGTCGGGGAATGGCAAGGAACCCTTCCCCCCGCGCCCCACGGCCGGCCTGTAGCCCGACTCGGTCGGTTTTTAAAATAGCAAATCACTCCGGAGCTCGCTTAATCGCAAAAGCTGATTACTACAATGCTGTATTTGACGCCCGGAGTAAGTTTCTACCTCCCCCAAGGATTGGGGGGGGGGGGACCGTAGTGGCTTTTACCGGGTCGAGCGGCGTTCACTACCTGCTCGGAAGCCCCAGGGACTCGGGCAAAGACCTTGCCGAGCGTGGTCACGCGCACCGAGCCGGCCGCCTCGGGGCACACATCGTGCGAGCCTCGGCCTCGCAAACTCTTCGCGCGGGGGCACAGGATTTATTTTATTTTATTCTATCGAGGGTGGGCACGGATGACCGGGTCTTCCCACTACCTTGCAACTTCAGCAAAGCTGTTTCGCCCGCTTTCCCTCCTCCCAAGTGTCCCAGACCCCCTCGTTAGAAGACCAGCCCGACCTCAGCGTTCCCACGGTCCTGCGCCGCTACCATCCATCCATCGGCTCTGCCCCCCGCCGCCCGGCCCGGAGAACCCATCCATACCCCGGGGTTGGGGGAAAGCAGGGGGGAAGGGAACGAGTCAGTGGAAGTGGAGAGGTTCTCGCCGAGGCCTGGAGGCCGGAGCCGGTGGAGAGCCCGAGAGCCCCGCAGCTGGGAGAGGAAGGGGTGGAGCGGTGCGGGGAAGGGCGGCGAGGAGAGCGGGGCGCGGGTGCACTCACTCTGCGTAGCCGGTGGCCCAGGGCAGCCGCCGGGTCTCCTTGAGGATGAGGATGGGGCGGGCGATGTGGTCCGCGCTGCACTCCACCTCATCCTGTGACAGCCCGAGGAACTCCGGCCGGCCGTACGGGAAGCGCAGGGGCAGGTCCGAGCCACCGCAGCCGCTGCCGCCGTGCTCGGAGCCGGAGCTGCCAGCCATGATGCCGCCCATGAAATTGGCCACGGCAGATTTCACCCGAGTGAGCATATTACTCTGGCGCCGGGCAGCCGCTGGGCGAGCAGGAGGCGGCGGCCGGCCGGGGCGCGGCGCGGGGCATGCAGGCTGCGGCGGGTGCGGGGCGCACGGGGAGCCAGCCGGGCCGCCGGAGCGCGCGGCTCCCGGAGCTCAGTGCCGCAGCGGGGCGAGCCCTGGCCTCCCGTGCTCCCTGCTGCCGCCGCCGCCGCCGCCGCCACCTCTCCCGGCGACACTTCCGCAACCGGGCGACATGGAGCGGGCGGGCGGCTAGGGAGGGCCGGCGAGAGCCCCGGGAGCGGCTGGCGGGCGGCGGCTGCGGCGGGTCCCTTCCCCGCCCCCTGCGCCCGGCTCCTGCGTGCGCGGAACTGAGCCCACCCGGCGAGCCCGCGGACCCGCCGCTCCCGCTGCCACCGCTACCGCCGTCGAGTCATGTGATAATCAGGCTGCGCGGGCTCGGGCTGCGGCTCCGGCCCAGGCTCAGCCCCTCCCCTGTCGGCCGAGCCCGGCTTGCTCCGAGATCGTGACCTCCCGCTGGCCTGGTCGGTACCTGGCGAGGAGGATGGGGGCGCTGTGAGCTGGAGGCTGTACAGGTGTTAGGGGCTGTCACATGGCGTCAGGCTGCTGGGAGAAGCCACGCGAAGGGCAGGCGCCAGGAGGAAAACTGCCTTTGACCTCCGGAAAAGAAACTTTGCAGACACAGGTGTTCTCGAGGTGGCGGACCTCCCAGTCCCGCGATGGAAAGAAGTTAACTCTACCTTGGTGTTGGAGTCTTAAAGACACAATGAGTACACAAGAATGGTTGGAAGTTTCCTCTGAGCAGCTGGAGAACCACTTTTCTTTTTCTTTGGTTACCTCTAAACGCGCCATTGTCTGTCACACAAGACTTATTTTGAATCTAGGATTTTACTACTCCAAAAAATAAAAGTCTCCAAAACATTAAGTACATGCACTATGTAAACTAACATGAGTCCTTTCACAAATTTACACAAGGTCTTTCCTCCAACACAGCCACAAATTTACCTTTACTGTTGCAGTGTTTTAATAACTGCACAAAATTAAGGGCATGTGGAAAACTAAAGAAAAACAGAACACAGCCACTGAATTAAATGCTAAACTTAAAAAAAACCCAGCAGATGCTTATAGTAAAATATATTTTGGCGATCTTACATTAATTTAAATGTCTTCAGAATAATAAATGTGCTTCTTCGAGGGTAACATTTGTTAAATATTGGTTTTGCTTATTTTATTTTTTTTTAACTTTTGCAACAGGACGGGTATCTGGTTCCTGCTAAACTGCTTTGTGTCGTGTTCTGATGTTTGCCTTCTATTTAAGACCGAACAACCTGTATAGCTATGCTCTGAGCAGCTCCTTTGGCGTTACAGGTGGAATCCAGGCCCTTATCCTTAGTGAGTGGAGAGAAGGGGGTAGCCCAGGTGCTGGAGAGATAAAGGAGCCTAGCATTCCCCAGAGAAGAACCCTGTAGCAGGAAAAATAAAAACCCAAAGACAGATATTGGAGTTCAACGTGAAGATCAGAAAAGCAAAGCAGCCAAGCTACCAGAGAGTTCTTACCAAGTTCTCTACCAAGGCTGGGGCGATCCTGTCCTCAACATGACTCAATACACTGTATCCCTGTCTCCTCCCGCCTTATATTCATCTCTAGTGCTGGGATTGAAGGTGTGCACCGCCACTGCCTGGCCTCTGTGGCTGACTACTGTGGCTAGCCTTGCACTCTGATCTTCAGGCACCACAGGACCGTGCTCCGTAAGCCTGGCCAAGCCTCAGTGTTTCCTGTCTTCGGTGTGGAGAACCATTTTTAAAGGTATTTCCTCCCTTTGACCATTTCACTTTAGATCGTTTTGGCAATGTTTCAAATGTTTTAGTGAAATTCCACCATTCTTCATCCATCATTTTAATGTTCTTTTTAAAACTGATTAGATGTTAGTTTTATCTCAGTCCCCCTTCAGCCCTCTCATTATAAAATGCTGGATCAATGGCTCTTCCAGAGGACCATGGTTCAATTCCCAGCACCCACATGGTGGTTCACAATGGTCTGTAACTCCCAGTTTCAGGGGATCCAAATCTCTCTTCTGGCCTCCACGGGCAATGCACTAACATGGTACATAAACATACAAAGAGCCAAAACACCCATTCACATAAAATAAAACTAAACACAAAACAAAAACAACTTTTAATGGGTCAGGATTTTAAATTATAATTCAATTCCTTCTTAAATTTTGTGTGATTAAGCTGTGAACCTCTGAAGGGTGAGTGTGTTACTGTGCATGTTTTGTCTAAACATTCACACTCATCAGTCTGGTCCAGGAGACTAATCTGCTCCGTGCTTGGAATGAGTAGTGTTGATTGAGGAAAGAATTAGACAAGAATTCGGAGGGCACCTGATGAATACCAGGACCAGCCCCAAGTTTATTACACAAAGCTCTTACATACCCCAATCAAAAGGAGGAAAGGTAAAAGGCCTTCCTTACCAAGATACAAAGAACAAGCAAGCATTATAACCGTCTCAATACCCAAAACATCAAGTAACCACACCCTAAACCAAATATCCCATTGCCAAGGTAAGAATCTATTAGCTACACTTTATGGCAGATGTCCTGTTGTGAAGGCAAGACATACAATAGCCACATCTTAGGCCAAACATCCTGTGGATTTTAACCTGGAAGGAGCAATATGGGCTTGAACTCTCTGACCTTAAGTCAAGATGAAACAGATCTGGAGTCACTTCTATGGCCCAGACACTCATCACAAGCTCTGAAACTGTTCTGGGACTTAGATGAGCTTAAACTCCCCCTTTCAAGCATTTCTTGTAGTACAGGTACCTTTTAATATTGCCCTTTAGATGTTTCAATGACCATGTTTTGTTGAGCTAAGTTTAACATGGATCTTCTCTTCATTTCATTTTTTGAGTACAGCATTAGATGGTTATGAAATTGGATTTCTAATAAAACTTTTCCTGCCTGATTTATTTTCAGTTGCAAAGTAGTACGGGGCCATGGTATATTATAAATGAATAAAATCCAGTGGTCCAGAGCCTTAATGAAAAAGTTGAAGAGTCTTTTATCTTCAGGGGTGAAATTGCTTTTGATATTTTCCCATCCGTTCCCAATCTTTTTCTGACATAGGACACTTGGCACTATTAAAATCAGAAGCATTAGCAAGATTAGTGAATTAACCCTTTAAGGAGTTACTCCAAGTTTCCTCTATAACCTAATTGTTGCCTGCCACAGCACAGTCCCATGTTAACATGGTTCAGCAGTCTTCCCTAGAAATTTGCCCTGCAAATCAGCAGAACGTCCCTACTTTCTTACTTTGAATGGATTTATAGGAAGAGAAGGGAGTTTTGCTTTTGTAATTCAAAGTGGGGGTTGTTATCATTATCATCCTCATTATTATTATTCTTATAGATGGACCTAAAATTAAATGCCTTTCTTACTTACTACATATGTTACTCCTAAGAGCAACTAAATTCAAATTATACAGGAATCAGGAAATGAGAGGCCCTTGCTTAATTTGTTCATTGCATATTGTACATAGAAGGTCTAGGCACCTGCAGTGTTTGAAAGAAAATGAGCCCCATAGGAAGTGGCACTATTAGGAGGTATGACCTTGCTGGAGTAGATGTGTACTTCTTGGAGGAAGTGTGTCACTGTGGAGGTGGGCTTTGAGGTCACATATATGCTCAAGACACCACCCAGTGTCTCAGACCACTTTCTGTTGCCTGTGAGTCAAGATGTAAGGACTCTCGGCTGCTTCTCCAGCACCATGTCTGCCTGCATGCTGCCTTACTTTCTGCCATGAGGATAACAGACTAAACCTCTGAACTGTAAGCCAGCCCCAATTAAATGTTTTCCTTTATAAGAATTGCATGGCCATGGTGTCTCTTCACAGCAATAGAAACCCTTACTAAGACAGAGCCTTCCTCTCCTGTCTGAAGACTATTCATTTGGGAGAGACTATGTTTGGATGCTTTTCATATAATCTCATCACTCTGCCCACGATACTTATATAACTCTGTTTACTAAATGACTTAATGTTAAGAATTGTTTTTTATAAAAGAAAGAAAGCCCCAATAACTTTATTTCCCTTAATATATCAGGGGTCCTCTTAAAATATTTACTATTGACAAAATGAAAAACAACTTGCCCTGCACAAACCTGGCAGACGTCACCACTGTAAATAAATGATCATGGTTAATGCCATCAGGGTAAAATATACTAACAGCCTGTGTGCTTGTAGGGTGAACTGTAAAAGGCACACCCCACATGCAGTATGCCTTAGCCCAGTGCGCTCATGAGAAAACCCTGGGCCAAGTGCACACTTAGCATGTTCCACGAAATGCCCAACTGGGTAACTTCAAATGTCTAGACCCTGAGAGAAAAGGAAACCCAACAGCGTCCTGCAGAGCTCAGAGACAACTGAAGTATGGAGCTGGTGTTAACCCTTTCATTCTGATGGTAACTTGAGGGGAAGTGGTGTGACGGAAAAATAGAATATACCATTATGGAGAGACGAGGAGGAACCTAGAAGGACTAAAGGGGAAAGGGAATGGATGGGAGAGAAGGGTAAAGGAGGGGACCTGGGAGGACAACTAACGCTAAAGGCTGTTTGAAAGCCATATGAAACCTACAGTTGTAGAAGCTTCCTAAAATACATACATGGAGGAGAGGAATGTAAACATAATCAGCAAACAATAAGTTAGACAACACCCTAACTAAACAGCTATATGGGTCAGTAAAACCCCCAGTGCTGGGAATGAGTTGCATCTTGTTGTGTTGTTGGCTAAAGGGACCCCATTGAAAGCCAAGATTATTGACTGCTCTCCACAACCTGATCATGCTTAACAGAATATTTACAAATGTCCTTGAACCTGGACATGCTGAGCTGGAGCTCACTGATGACTAGAGTTCATGGCACTGAAAGTTATTCTGCACACCTCCTTACTACAAACCTGTGACCTGAAACAGTGACCTGTCATGCTGCAATTTTGGCAC